AAATGACAGGGATCAAGTTGTTTCTAGGAGTGAAGTAGGGTTGTAATTGTAGGTTTTGTTTAAGAACCTTCATTAGGGAGGAGATTTGTAGTTAATCCTTAATTAAGATTTTGATATCAACAAAATATATACAAAGTATTGGCTTTTTCTCCTTTTATCTCTCATTATCTTCTCTTATTCTTGTCAATAGTGTGAATATAATTAATCGAGTCTTTTATGTCCTCCTAATAGATTTTTTGAAAGAAACCCGTAATTTTGGATACTTGCTAATCAACAAAGGATTGAAGATAAGAATACGAAGAAAAAAAATCGGAAACATAAGTATGACTATAACCAAAGTAAAAGACATTTAATACAATTAAAATGTAGTGTGCTTATTAAACTTATTAGTGTCGATATAGTCACCCAATGTTAAAACCCCATTTCTATATATGTAATTAGTTTTCACAAAAAGGGGGATAACCAAATGGTCATTGAACTTTAAAAATCACCATATTCATAACTATACTTTACAATTTGTAATTCCGTTCATCACTGATCTCATGATTCGTAAAAAAATTTGACGAAATGCTGACGTGGGTGTATATGTGGCATTATGTCTCGATTGATTGGCATCTACATAAGCAGCCATGTGAGCCATGTGAGGTCAGTGATGAACAAGATTACCAATTGTAAAGTTTAGTGATGAATGTGGTGATTTTTAAAGTTTGATGGCCCCATGGAAATCTTTTGCAAAGTTCAATGACCATTTAGGTTATTATTCATACATTTTTCAATAAAATAATATTACACGTAAATTTAAAAAAAAAACTATTTTTTTAATTTTACATTTTTCAAAAAATTACTCTTTCAAAATATATTTTCCCTTTCTTTCTACCAAAAAAATAAAAAGAAAGAGAGAAAAATGTCTTAGAAAAATTAACGGTGGCCAGAAAAAAGCCATGATTAATTACTAATCATTTTCAACCATATATTCCCCAAAAAATTACTATTCCAAAATTCATTTTTCAAGACATTTTTTTTGTAGAGAGGATCGAAAAATATATTTTGGAATAGTGATTTTTGGGAGAATGTGGTTAAAAATAAGAAAAAGTTTTGAATTCACGTGTAATATTATTTTATTGAAAAATGTGTGGATAATAACCTAAATGGTCACTGAATTTTGCAAGGGGTTTCTAAGGGGTCATCGAACTTAAAAAATCACCCAATTCATTGCTAAATTTTACAATTTGCAATTTCGTTCATCACCGACTTCACGTGATTGCATACGTGGATGCTAAATCAATTGAGACATAATGCCACATAAGCAACCATGTCAACATTCCGTCAAATTTTTGACGGACCATAAGGTCAATGATGAGCAGAATTACAAATTACAAAGTTTAATGATGAATGGGGTGATTTTTTTAATTTAGTGACCCCCTGAAAGCCTTGTGCAAAATTCAATAATCATTTAGGTTATTATCCCCAAAAAGGATGACAAGTTATTTCCTTATTTTTCCTTTTTTAAATTTAACATTTTCAATTTTGAAAAAAAAAATTATGTAGATGCGAGCAATCTTTGCATAAAAGAGGAAAAGAGGAGAAGAAAAAATAAACTTTATCTACTTTAATTAAATAAAAAATAAAATAATAATTTAAGTCTAACATAAAAGGTAGAATGAATAAATATATATTTTGTTATAAAATGGAGAGAGAAAGAGAAGAAAATAGAGAAGTTAATGGCTTGTGTGTATTTTATTGTGAATCGAAGCTCCATTTTTATATAGAAGAATTAGGACTGCAAGAGATACAATAGTCATAATAACTAGGGCCGTAAGGATATAATGATCATTCACTAATAAACATATAATTTATAATATATTTCTACTTATAAAAAGATTTCTATGATTTCCAAGAAAATGTTAGTTAAAATTTTTAAGGCTAAACAGCACGATACCACAATATCTATTGGAATTTTGGACAAACTGTCGAAAACCTTCATACCATTGAAAATATTACAAAACGTCCCTATTTGAAACGTTTAACATAGAATACCTCAATGTCATCCATTTTCTCAATAAAAAATTATGAAATGATGAATATACTATCATATTTAAAAAAAATTAGGTTCTCTTTAGAACCAAATCAAATTCAAATTTTCGGATATTTAGTAAGTGGAATCGTCGGGTCCAAATTTAAGTCAATTTCCTAATTTCGTACGATAATTAAATTTTTTAATATTTATAACAACGCTACATTAGACGTAATTCAGCTAGCCGGGGTCTGATCGTGATCCGTATTCCATCAAATAAAAAATTAAGTAATTTTTAGGTAGTTATAAATTTGAATTGCCGTTCGACAATTTCTTGAGTGGGGCCTTGGAGGTGACTGGAGCTCCATAATTAGGGTCAAGTTGTACTCCTATTGTGAATTATTTGACCACGACGTGTCCTTAGAACTCTTTGGTTTTAAATTTGTATGATGGGATAATCTTGAATAGTAGAACTTTCCAATTTGATCATATATACTTTATGGTTTCCAAAGAATATGCTCTACCTAATTTATGTTGTTCATGTTAGGGTAAGATAAGACCTCAAATCTTCTTAATATCATATTAAATTTCATTAAATTTAAATGACCTTTTTGATCTAATTAATATTTAAAGTTTCAAACGAGTATACAAATTTCAGATTGATATGCTCAAACAAGTCATTATTTTATGGGGACACGTTAATAAATAAATCCCTCATCGATTTTTCATCTTTTTTAACTTAATAACTTAATATCATATTGATATTCATCACAAAAAATAAGTTTTAACTGAACAAAACCGATGCTTCCTAGTAGAAAGAGCAAAGATACATGGGTTTTCAAGATCAACCCTAGCTAACGTAATTATTTCTAGTTCAATCTACAAGTCGAATAACATATTCGACAATACAAGTCGAATACAGATGAATAAGACTACTTATTATTAACAATCAACATAGACATTCGACCACATATGATCAATAACAATTAAAGAGAATGTCGCAAGATTGTTATATGGGCGACTTGTCATATAGAAATTATCTACATCATCGATAGACTTGATGACGTATTTAATCTACTCATCTCCAATATTCTCGCGAGAATAACGAAAACCCTTGAGACACCCATCCATGTACCCATAATTGTTCCATAAACCTCCTACTGGAAGCAAAATTTTGAATTGATTACCACTATATTTACTTAAGCATCTTTCCATATATTTATATTTTCCTCTTTGATGCAACTGCTAACAAATTCTTACACAAGACGTGACCTCGGCCTACGTGCCCAAAAATTCCTGTCCAAGATTGCTGATTGGCCAGGCGTAGTCACTCGAGCGGACAAAATCGACCAGCATCAATCTACATATGAGAAAATTAAAAGAAGTCTATGATTTGTATCCTACATATTCATACACGTCACGGCATATAGAGCATGTTTGGCAAAAATCTACACAACTAGCTTACAAGTCAGATAAGTTAGAAATTCGGATCATACAATTTGTGAGACTCAACTTTCAAGCTAGCATCTATTTTGTCGAAACATGCACATAGCTATAATCCCACCAAATTCTCATTACAGCCAAATTGACTGTCAGGGTTCATACCCAAATAGTATCTTGTCCACTAACAAGCCTTGTGCCACAAAATTGTCTTGGATAAGTTAATAATATACTTTTTGGACAAGAAGATTTTTGTAGTTTCTCTCCACAAACATTCAATCACAGTGCCGTGTGCCCTCAAAAATTGGACATTTGTATATGCCTTGCAAAGCCTTGAGTCCTTTAGGGATTTTTGGTTTATTTTTCAACTCTTCTCACTTGAGCTTCGCATGCGAAGACGACAAGACCCACCAATAGACTATTAGATTATCCATCATATAAACTTTTTGGATTATTGATGTGAGGATTTGTGCGTTAAACTATTATTTATTGTGGAAATTACATCCACGCATGATTTTTAAATTGAAAGATTTTTATTTTTTTCAATTTAAAAATTAGATTTAAAAGTTCTTTTATTTAAAAATCAGGTGATAATTCAACTTTTTTATATTAGTAATAATATTATAAAATTAAATTAATCTACACATTCACCCCACCTCATATCACTCTCAAACCTTAAATTATTCTCCTTTCTTTATCGCCTCCATTCTCCCTTCTCTTTCCTTATCACACATGGAAGACCACCATCAAAGACTATAGGCGAGCGCTGCAGCGCAACAACAATGGTTTTAGGGTTGTTTCTTTCTACTTTTGTTGTTAATCGGAGTTTCGGGGTGATTTTTGTTGGTGGTTGTTGGTGGTTGGAAAATGGTGACGGTGGTGATGGTGGTGCAATTGGTACAGGTGCTGGTAGTAGTGGTGCAAGTGATGTGGTGATAGTAGTGGTGGTGAGGTGGCATGTGTTCCGTTAGTGTCGATCATGCATGAATTGGGGTTGTGTTGGGTTAGGTTGGGGTTAGATGAAGAGTGTTGGTCATCAATTATTTGGTGATTACAACCAATAAATTGGCTAATTCGTGACTAATAAATACTATGTAATCTATAAAATTGATCATTTGTGACCAATAAATAATATGTGACTTAAAAATATGAGATTGTGATTAAATTGGTAATCTTGACTCACAATTTGTTGAGTTGATATCAAATAATTTGATAATTTGTGATATATAAAATTTATAATTTGTGATAGAAAAATAATACGTGACCTAATAATTTGATCATTTGTCACTGATAAATAAATTGTAACCTATAGAATTTGTGATTTGAGATCGAAAAATAATGTGTGACCAATTAATTTGACAATAAAATAATGTGATTGATAAATAAGTTATGACCTATAAAATTTGTGATTTTGTGACCATACCGTTCCGTGTGTAAAAAGGGAATTCCCAGCTCAAGAATACCAAAGCCCTCGCCCATTGATAGGGTGGCCATTACTCGTAATGATCCTCGCAGTAGCGCCATACTCCACGGCATTCTGCAACAAATGTCTGAAACCTCTTCTAGCAGCAGCACTCGCGGGCTAATCCCTTTTTGGGTAGCTATGAGCTCAGATAATGTGCAAACAGTACTGGGTAGTTTTGGCTTTTGAGGAAATAGGAAATTAAGGTTGGAGCTCTAGCCGACATTCGCTCACGTAATTGTGAACTTAATATATTTAATTAATAAAATATTTTTAATTGTTTGTTTCTT